TAATGATGAGGGCTTTTGTAGGGCTTCGTAAAACTTAACATTAACTACCACATGCCGTTTTCAGGTACCAAAGCAGTCTGATCCTCTCTGTCAGATGGATAATGCAAATCGTCAAGCTGAAAGCCCAGGTGGAAAGAAGCAAGTCTCTTACAGGACAGAAATTGTCGGTGGAGTTCCTATCATCACACCTACGCAGGTAATACCCTTAAAACAAGCGAGCTGTTATTTCACAGAAGCAGCTTTATTGTTTGACAGGAGAGAGTAGGTTATTGTATCACCATAGAGCTGTCAGCTTCTCACCTTGCTCAGAGGACTTACGTTGATGTGCACCTTTTATTGATACTGGCTGAGGATTTTATTCCCTACAGAGAGTTGTACAAGACTATAAAGAATTACTTGAGTATTGATTTTTTTTTTTTTCCTCACAGATGAGGGTTACGATGCTAAGCACCTTTCTGTGTGTGAGTGAAATGTGTTGTTGGTGTTAACAGTGCTGTAGTTCTGTCTTTTTAGTTGCCAGGAAAAGTGAGCAAAAAAGCAAAGCGATGAAGTCAGCTGATTTTATATATACACTGTGTTATTAGAGGTGGTGAGGGTGAGGACAGATTAAGCTGTTGCAGAAGGGCCTTATGGAATGGCATGCGTGGACACAGGAGATAGCAGGCGAAACTTGGTGAAAATACATGTGATGTTAAAGAAATTCTGGGAATAAACAATCCTAGTTTTCATAGAAAATACTAGATTGTGAAATAACCGTTTCCACTTGACTGAGAGGTAAGAGCTAGTCACACTGTGAAAATGTCATCTTGGTGTTCAGTAACAGTGGAGGAAAAACCCCATGAATATTAGGAGTTACTAGAAGAAGGATAAGGAGCAAGCCAGAAAACATCTTTCTTGCTCTATAAATTGCGTTTTTGACTAGACCGTGACGACTGCGTCCAGTTTTGTTCTCATCTTAAAAACTGAAACTTGGAAGGTTCAGAGAAAGATTTCTAGGGTGCTGAGTTCATGTGGTTTGGCCTCCATGTGAGGAGCAGCTGAGTAGTTGAGGTCTTTTCCATCTGCAAAAGAAATGACTGAAGCAAGGTCTGAGAGCTCTACAAAATCACGCCTGGCAAGAGGCAATGGTGTGAACTGTCTTTTCCATTGTGAGAGCTTTTAGGCAAAGCTAGTGGTGTAACCAGGTCAAACAAAGGGTTGGAGTTCTTTCAGTGGGCAATAAAAGCAAAGGTGCTCCCTGCCAAAAGGTGGTGTGGGTGCAAGAAACTTTGAGTTAGAGAAGCTGGACAAGCCTATGGAAGAGTGATCTATGCAGTGTTAAAGCTACAGGCCTGTAGCTGTTTCTGAAAGTACCCAGAGTGGAAAATAGTCACAGGTTGGATTAATATAATGTAAATAACATGTATACACCTTACTGCATTTAAAGTTGGTGAATTCTGATGTGTCTTGTGGTCCCAGAAAAATATAATTTTCTTTGCTGTAGCCACCTCTAGTGTTTTACCCTTAAAGTCTTATTATGAGTTTGCACTAAATACATACATGTATCTTGCTTTTAGGTCTGTAATGTTGTTCACCGAGTGTCTGTCAATAATTTTTGAGAATATTCAGCACTTTTTTAGTGTAGTTTCTAAATGGAGTTTGCAAGTACTGAACCAGAGCCCTTGGAGAGTGTCATTGGAAATGGGATTTGTGAGCATGGGATGACAATTATTTCCTGTTGTAACTAGTGTAGTTATTCTTTGACTTTCAGAAAAAAAGTATTCTGAAATTTCCTGCTCTTTTTCTAGAAAGAAGAAATCAGTGAGGGCAGCGAAGGGGCTGATAGAAATTATTTGAAGCGATCGCAAAGTCACCTTCCGTATTTTACTGCTAAGCACCCCCCAGATAATGCTATTATCAAAGCTGGTTACTGTGTGAAACAAGGAGCAGTGGTAAGTATGAGATGAGTGTTTCATTAATCAACATCAAAGGTCCTAAGGTGATAGTTTTATTTATCAAGTAGATGATTAAAATAAAAGAAGAGGATATAATTACTGGTAACTTTAGCATTACTGACAATGCTAAGGATGGCTAAGGATAAAACTTTACCCTCCAGCAGCATGTAGTTTATGTATGTATTACTACTTTTCATGCCTTTTTTCACTGTTATGTTGTTGAACATGTTCTGGAGAGGACAGGTTGTGTGCACAGACTTTCACATTATGGTTAGTGTGTGCAACTGGGAGTTCTTCTGTCCTGCAGTTATGTAGAGATCCATATTTTGCTTACTTTTTAAATTAGAAAATGTTCAGGAAAAGCTGCTTTTTTTTTTTTCTTTAGTTCAGAGGAAGAAGTATACAACTTGTCAGACTAACACATGTGGCACTGTACACACGATGCCTTGCTAAAAGCAAGAAGGGCTATTTCAGATTAAGCAGTCTATGCACACTTCACAACAACTCAGGTTCATTGTATGTTGGATTATGAAGCTTCTTTTTGTAACGTTCCTTTTTTTAGTTAAAAATAAACTCGAAACCTTTCAAGTACTGTCTTAACATTTCTTACAGGGTATTTGTGCTGCTGAGTTCCTAGAGTGTCAGTGGAAATTGTTAGAAATTGTTAGAATAGAAAGGAGTAGCTTCCAGAATTTTTAGGTTTTGCCACTTAAAAATAAAAAAATAATAGGGTGGAGTCTTGCACAATTATTTTGGGGGCACTATATGCACATATGTAAATAAATGCATGTAATATATAAAATTATAAATGTTAGGTGAATAATTAGAAAACCAGGAAGTATACACTATTACATATTAGAAATGTGAAGTAGAATTATAAAAACATTTAAATACATTAAAAATATGTAACATGAAAATATATTTGTATTCTATATATTAAATATATAAATGTTTAATTATTTTCCTAACAGATGAAGAACTGGAAGAGAAGATACTTTCAGTTAGATGAAAACACAATAGGATATTTCAAGTCTGAACTGGTAAGTTTCTAAACTTGTGTTATTTTCCAGTGACAATTGCAAGCAAATCTAAAGGAATACCCTTGTATTTGCGAAATGTTCTGTGCTGCTTCTGTAGCTCTGTCCTGTAATAACTTTTTCTCAATTAGGAAGATCAAAAACTTATTAAGGTGGCTGTTAAATCAGGCTTCAGTCTTCTGTTTGGGAACTTCTCTGTAGGGCACCACAGAACAAAAACAGGATATATTCTACCATCACCCTGACTTCTGTATTTGTATCTTCTGTCGCTTTGTACACACATATTAATGGTGTTCTCGAAACAGCTGATTGTTGGATGGAGAGCCAAAACTCTCATCTTGCAATCCTTAATTTAAAATTAGAATTGTGGGCTGCTGATTGTACAAGCGAAGGGATCTTTTCCCGTACTCTTGTTTCAGCCAAGACAGGCAAAGCACTTCACTGCTCAGAAGTGACACTTGCAGAGTTTGTTTCGGTTTCGTGATCTTTCTTTCTTGCTCATCACTCTTGAACCTTTTGACCAAATGTTAAGTGCCGTTGGGCCCCGTTTAAAAAAAATGGAGTGGCTTGTGCTGGAGATAGTCTGTTTTCCCCGAAAAGGAATCCCACACTTAATAAACATTAGAAAAATATATTTTTGAGGAATGAAGCCAGAGTTGTAGGGTATTATAAATCAAGAAAAACTGAGCTTGCAGGCCAACTGTAAGATGTAAAATTTCAAGAACGCAAATTCCAGGGTGTTTCAAAAGAGAACTTCTGCTTTACTTTTTAATGAGGGAGTATAGTACAGTGGCAGGAGTTTGATATTGTGTCATTATCTTTATTAAACTCTCAGCAAAGCACAATTCTGACTCACTACCTATAATAAACCCTCTATTTTTATTTAAAAAAATACATCTGAGTGCAGATTGCTCACAAGGAAATTCTCAGTGAAGAGTTGTACTATGTGAGAATATACTAGAAAGATGGTAGAAATGCGTACACTTCTAGTATTTTGTCATCGTCCTTTAGAGTTTAACTCTTTTGAGCAATTTAAAGTCTTGTAGTGTCCTCTGTCCTTCAGACTTTTGCCTCCTGCAAACACAGAAAGGGTAAAGGGATCTCTTCTGAACTCAAGTGGCAAATGATTTCTTCCAGCAATGAGTGGGATCTCCTTTTCCCTAAAAGCCTCCTGCTCCAGAGATAGGAAAAAGCTTGAGTAGTGGTGGTTAGTCATGTCTTTGTCATTACGAAGGCTGCGGCACGGAGGTTGAATTCAGCTGGTGTAGGATCAGACTTGTAATTCTGGAAAGCTTTTCTGTTGGCCTTCAGTTCCCAGTAGTTGTAGTCTTCAGCCAAGTAAGGCTCTTGCCTGGAGTTTGTCTTGACAGCTGGCCTGCTCACCGGTACTTCACGTGACTCTACTGGAGTTCTTGAGTTGCTGGTGGTTTGTACCTGTTAGAAATAAATATATGAGTTCCCTGCTCTCAAAAATGTAAAAAAATGTTGGTTGAAAATTGAAAAGAACTTAAAAGACTCCCAGGAGTTCTTTATGGTGGTTTGGTGTTGTCGTTGTGTAATTCCCCCCACGTATGCCTAATGACCAACTCTCTTCAGTTTGAGGAAGAGTCTGTGGGAGGCTTCAGGTTGATACTGCCTGTATTCCATTATGCTCAGAGTTGGAAAATTATGACTTCTGAGCACCTGCAACAGCAGTCTGCATTTGATGTATTGCTTGAAAACCTTGTAATGGATGAGTGAACCAAGGAAAAGCAGGGAGGGGAGAGGAACAAAATGAGTGAGAAAATTGAGTTTCAAACTCTCTATATTTGATCTGCTATAAAGACAAGTGACAGACTGACATTTGAGGATAGTTATATCTGGGTGACATTTGCTGTTTGCTCTAACACCATAAATCTCTTAAGTGTATATCTAATAGAAATTGTAGAGAAAGTAATCATTCCACAGCTGGGAGCTTTTGCTTTGTCTATGAGCTGAAGCCAAGTAAAATAGTCCATTGTAACGTTGCTTAAAGAAGACAAATTAGGAGTAAAAGAAGTGATTGGTTGTTTTACTGCAGTGACCACAGGAAAATAATAGTATGTGGGACATGACTTCATCATGGCAAAAGTGAAAGTACTTCTATTTTAATGTTCTCACTTTTTTCCTTTTGTCTGAAACTTTAATAAAATAATAACACTGATTTTAGTACAGTAACAATTTTCATATGCCTTTAAGAATACTTTCACAGGTTTTGGTATAATTGATTTCTTTGTTTTATTTTTAACTGTATTGAGTATAGGGGGCTGGTTAGCTCAGTCAGTCGAGTGCGGCACTAACAACACTAAGGTCGTGAGTTCGATTCCTGTTCGGTCCCCATGTGTTGCCTGATCTAGTTGAGAGGTGGCGTCCCTGGCGGCAGGGAGCCTGGATTAAAATGATCTCTAAGGTCCCTTCCAGCTTAGGCCATTCTATGATTCTATGATTCAATTAGTCTTATTTAAAGCCATGTGATGCATGATAATTAACAAAACATTTTGCATTGTAGTATTTCATAGCAAATTAATATAGTTGTGGTTTTACTGAAATAAGCTGCCAGAGGCCGGATGCAATTTTCTGATGTAGTTAAGGGAAGGAGACAGGGGTGGCTGTGTCCATTACAGTAAGGTGAACGAATGCTTTTACTTCTTGATTTTTGCCTCCCCTTCAGTTCAAGTGCAACCTTGATTTAATGCTTCCAAAAGCAAATTAAATTTTGGTTGATGTCACCTTTTGCATAAGTGACTGCATCGAAGGTATCATTTGCATAAGTCTACTCCTATCAGCTGACCTGACCTCTGGCTCTTTGACTGTGTTCTAATTGTTAGATGTACTCTACTGAAATATTTTTGCCTTTCCTTTTCAGGAGAAGGAACCTCTCAGGGTTATACCACTTAAGGAGGTTCATAAAGTTCAGGAATGCAAACAAAGGTGAGAAGCACCGACGTGGTTCCGTGGGGTGTAGGACACGGCTGTGTCGTGGCTAGGCTGCTCGTTGGAAACAACAGGGAACTTTTTTAATGACTTGGGTTGACGTATGCGCGTGTGATACTCCTTCCTTACAGGAGAGCAGGTAGTTCTGTGCATGAAACCAGTTTTGAGGGTTCTGCATTAGTCTGTGTTTCAAACTTGTAGCGTTTGGTGGAATGTAATTGCATTGCACAAGGGTGGAACAAAGGACTGCCATGCAGTCAGGAGGGAGAGGTGCATGGGTGCTGTCTTGATTTGAGGTAGCAATTTTAAGAGTCTCTAGCGCACTAATAAAATCTCTAAACCTTTAGAGGACCTTGTCTTATGTTAAAAGTCTGAATTTAGATGAGAGCCCTCTTCTTCCTCCTGTTTCCCTCCAAACAAAAATGGAATTGATTGTCTTTTGTGGTAGGGTTGTGGGGTTTTTTAGTAGGTTACTGCTTAGGACTAATATTTTGCACAAAAATAACAAAATATAAATCGAAATTTTACAAAAATTTGACTAGGACAATAAATATTTTTAAACTTAACACGATATGGTTTAGAACATACCAGTTAAATATATGTAATAGCATGCATGCTACTAATAAACTAAAGAGGAACAGATGCTAGTTTTCTTTTTCTGCTTGGTATTTGCCAAAAAACAAGGTGGTAAAAAAGTGCAAAGGTAGTCAGACAACAAATGCTCTGGCTCTCTGCGCATCCTAGAATCTTTTTAAAACAAAGTTGTACTTGCTGTTGAAGTTGTTTTGTGTTTCATTTGCAGTGATATAATGATGAGAGACAATCTCTTTGAAATTGTAACGACTTCTCGAACCTTTTATGTACAGGTAATTGCTTTTCTAACCTTTAGGCGAAACCAGGAGACTGCCATAGTCAAAGCAAAGAAGCGCTGCTGTTTTGCTCTTTAGCTTGTATTTAACTATGATTTTCAGAGAAAATATGATCTTCATTATGTTTCAGAGAGATGCATGTAAGAAATATTCCACATAACAGCAACAATTATGCCAGTAGTTTTATGAAGGCAGTAAACAATAAATCCTAATATGATTTTGTTGGCTTTCAGATCTTTGAATTTTTTTAAATCTTTAATTTTGAAGTACTGAATTTTTATATATAGTAATAGAGTTCTCTGATCCAAGTTAGTTGGGACACTAAAATATCTGCTAAAGCACAGCAGCATTTAGATTTCAGCACCTATTTGGTAATAAGTATCCATATGCACGTTATCCACCGCATCCTTACCGTGTTGTCTTTTAAATGTTGGGATATCACACAAATCTCAAAGACTCTTCCTAGGTCTTTGGAAACGTGATGCTTATAGTACTGGAAATAATTTTTGAGTTTCTTGTGTAGAATCAGAAAGGTCTGTATAGTCTTAAATCAGGCATTGGTGCCAGATGCTGAGTTTGGAGCTGTTCTGTAGGCGAATGGAATTAAGTGACAAGTTGCAGATGTTTCTTCCTGGGTAGATGTGATAATTTCATGAAGTTGCAACCTGGTTGGCAGATAGATTTAGCTTTTTGTGGGTCTGTATCTCAGATATGTACGCCCTTGGTATTTGCTGTTAATCTGTTGCAGCTTTGTTGGCTTGTTCTAAGTAAATGTACAACTACACCTCTAACAGAGACTGATTTTTAGTTGGCTGTAACTCTTCAGTAAATACCTCACAGAAGTAAAGCGCAGCTGTGACTGAAAAGTACAGAAGTTGTGTCTTTAGCCCAAGTCTGCCGAGAGGGGTCAGCGATCTCCTGTAAGAATTTCTGTGGGCGTTTTGATTTATTTCTTTTGTTTGCTGAAAGTAAAAATTTGAGTCTAGACTATGCAAATAGCATAAAAATACTTGTGACTTATTTTATATAAATAATACGTATAAGAGTAAACTTAGGGTAAGATTTTAAGAAATGTCTGTGGTAAGAAATGGAAGCCTCTGTGGCTTTAAATAACAGAGTTAAGAGGTAGGGTAGGGCTGTCACTGTAATGCGGATGGTCAGGACAGAGGTGATTCTGTTAAATTTAATTCATATTGTTCAATCCAGGCGGACAGTCCAGAAGACATGCACAGTTGGATAAAAGCAATTTCTGGGGCCATCGTAGCACAGCGGGGACCTGGAAGATCAGCAGCTTCCGTACGTTATTTTGAACCCCAGAGAAAACGCAATGAGTTGATTCTCACCTGTGCACATGAAGTTCTAGCTGTTTTCCCCTTTTGCCTGTCCTCTGTCCTGTCCTGTAGTAATGTGGCATCTTTGCATGAACTTTCATAGAGACTGGCATAAAATGTTTTCCATTTTTAATGGAGCACTTATCTTAGTCTTACCTCTACGTAACTTTATGTGCATTGTATTGTCTTGAACACGTAGATAATGCAAGTGCTAACCTAGAAAAATTCTTCTGAGTTCGGTATGATCTTTGTCACTACTATTAGTTTGGAAGTAAAATTGAAGCTTTCTAATTCCTGCGAGGCATAAAAAAAACAACAATATTTTTTAAAACTCTTAATTTGTTTTTAACAACTGTCGCTACCGAATTGTCATTCCCTGTTGCTGATAGTTTATTATACATGCAGATACAGATTCAAGGAAACATCTTACAAGATTGCTGCTCGCATGAATTAGTTTTTGCTGTTGAAAACGTGGTGTGAACACCAGCTAGCATCACTGAACTGAGGTGCTGTGACAAATCTTTGTTTGTGAAGCCATGTGATGGCAGCATTTCATACATATTTGCATTTAAACCTGTATAAAATGGTCAGTACAAAGTATTTAAAGTTGTGAAAAGTAGTGAAGGTTACTGGAGTGTCACAGTGTCTCCAAGTACGTCCAAATTTAACAAATGGAATACTTCAGAGTTCAGATGCTGCAAGCTGCCGTTCTCACTTTCTGACTACGGGATGTTTTATAATATGCTGAATATATCATTACCCCCATCATCTGAAATCCAAGAATTTAAATCTGACTTTTGTCTGCACATTTGCGTTGATACCATGTTTCTGTTAATCCAGTCTAAGATCCCAATTATTTTTTTTTTGCAGCTTGGAGCTACTTCCTCCTTTTAAAACTCCCTGTTGCACATTTCGCTTCTCTTTGGGGGAATGAAAATATGCAGATAACTTTTCTCAGTGTATGTTTGTGGGTTTTTTTGGTTTGATTTTTTTTTTTTTTGTGTGGGGCTAACTGAGCAATCTAGCTATTACTGTCTGCATCACTTCTTTCTTTTTCCCTTCTCTTTCTCTTCTTTCCCCAAGTATAGGTTACTCTAATCTTAGCTTTGCACTGTGTTCCAGATGCGGCAGGCCAGAAGGCTGTCGAATCCTTGTATACAGAGGTATACATCAAGAACTGGTGAATGCAGCACGTATGTGGGCTCTCATGTAAACTTGCCTTCTCAACAGAGGGCTAGGGCTAGAGACTAATTTGCACTATAAAAACCACTAAAAAATAATGCTACCTGTTGTCATTACCATTACTGAAAACTAACTCATAAATTACATTGTTCGCTTACAGGTTTGCACTGTTTTTCCTCTTACTTTTGAAATAATTGGAAATTAAAAGTGGCAAAACCATATGTTTATACTTCAAAGCATACTATACATTTAAATGTAAGTTACGTGATGTCATTTTAATGGGGAAGTATTAAAAGTAATTTGCATGAGAGTTCATATTTCCACTTTTTACTTTCCATTTTTTGAAACTGCGCAAAAGCAAAATTAAATTTAAGCTACCCACAAACTAATACAGATGCGTGCACACAAAAAAACGCACGTCGTAACTTTTTAATAATTGGAAGGATAATACTGTAGCCTGATTTGCATGGCTTATAAGTCTCTGCATGAAATTATTAGTTCAAATGTAGAAACATTGTAATGTCTAATCGGTTCAAAGCAGTACACCTTAGGAGTAATAAAGCAGCATAGAGTGTGCTAGTAAATCTGAGTATCCTTCAGTTCAGTTTAACAAAAAGTTTATTATAGAGATCTTGTCTTAATATTCCTTACTTCTGTCCTACTTTTTGAACTAAAATTAAGAATAGTAGGTGAATTGCTGAATACTATGTTCTCCTAAAGTAATTTTTTTTTCTTAAAATGGAGTATCAAGCCAGGTGTGAAATAAAGCAGTGTAAATAATTGAAATGTTTCACTGAAATTGAGTGCAAAACTGAAGTCCAAAACCAGTTGCTCAGCTCCTTCATTCAATAATATTAGTTAATCTATAAAATGAAATGCAGTAGTACTTGGCAGGATCTGTTGCGATTAAACTTGGGAATTAATGACATGGCATTCTAAAAGAAACTTGAGGAACTGATGTGAAAAAAACCCTATTTTGCATCTCGGACACACATCTGTGGTGGTTTTTGTTTCGTTAACCAATGTGCCTGAAAAGGGACGTGATTTGTGCACACGTGTGGGCTCGCAGTTCCCCTGAGCTCATGTACTAACGCTGGTGACGGCAGAAGTGGCAGCAGCTGCAGCTCCTCGTGCATGTGGAGGGAAGGATTCACTGCACCATCGCACATCGTTTTGGTCAGACCATGTAACACTGCTTCCAGCACTTGGTTAGATATCCCGAGGTATCCGAGACATCCTTGCAGAACTGACGGATATGATGCAGAACCTGAGGAGTTGTTTGTTTGTTTTGGAGGTCAGGTCAAGATTGTTTTCACAGTATCGATCTCATAGTTATGTGAAGGTCAACAGCATAGTGGTTAACAATGATAAACACAAGAAAATAAATCATAGAATGGTTTGGTTTGGAAAGGACCTTAAAGACCATCCAGTTCCACCCCCTGCCCCGGGCAGGGACACCTCCCACCAGCCCAGGTCACTCCAAGCCCCGTCCAACCTGGCCTTGAGCACTGCCAGGGCTGGGGCTGCCACAGCTTCTCCGGGCACCCTGTGCCAGGGTCTCACCCCCCTCACCGTGAAGAATTTCTTCCTAATATCTGACCTAAATCAACTCTGCTCTAGTTAAAACTATTGCCCCATGTCCTATCACCAGAAGCCTTTGTAAGTAGCAGCTCCCCAGCTTTTCTGTAGTCCCTTCAGGTGTGGGAAGGCTGCTCTAAGGTCTCCCTGGAGTCTTCTCTTCTCTAGGCTGAACAGCCCCAACTCTCTCAGCCTGTCCTTATAGGGGAGGTGCTCCAGCTCCCTGAGCATCTTTGTCATCCTATGGACAATTAGAAGGAATAGCTTAAAGATCAGCTTCTTTTCCAGGTTCATTAACTTTGGAAATCATTTATACGGTCCTGATAGCGTTAAAGAGTTACTGGTTTCATTTGGTCCCTGAAACAAATTGGAGAGATTGGTTCCCCAGGAAGAGGAACCAGTAAAACGTGCATTATTTCAGGATTTAGGATACGAGTGCCTGGTGTGTATGAATATGCTCAAATACCTTTTTTTCTTGGAAAGATGTCACTTTCAGTGGCCTTAAATTGTGTATCTTCGAAAGGTTACTTAACGTCTTAGTTAAATGAGAAGTTTCAGTTTGCTGGACTATATTATAAAGTCTAAAGAGCTGCTGAGCTTGACTTGAGAAATTTAATTTCCTCAAACGAAGAAGCCGATGTTGCTGTCACACACTGCTGTAAGCTCACGTTTAATAGTACGCTGCCTTGAGAAAACACCTGCCTCCTGCTGCTGTGGCTGTTGCTTTGCTTTGTGTATTTTCTGTCTTGATTTTATTATTTAGTCTGTTTTGCCCCCAAGAGTGAAATCTGAAACTGCGTCATTCCCACAAGCCGTCAAGAACTCAGTCTGACCCGTGCTCTTCTTTTCCAGGAGCATCCCGAGTCTTCTTCCGAACCCAACCATGCTCTCCGTTCTGCCGTCCCAGCCCCAGCCGCCTCACATTCCGCAGCCGCTCACGGCAGCCCTCTGGTCCCAAACCCTCACGCCAAACACCCTGCCGTGGAGAAGCGAGGATTTCACGACTCTTTTACCAAGGCCAAGCCAGGGAGCTACAAGATCCAGGTTGTCGCTCCAAGAGAATCAGCTTCCAAAGTGACTGAGAGGGGCCTCTCAGAACCCCAAAGTAAAAACGGCGCTCAGGAACAGGATCCTGGCCTGGTGGATCTGGATGATGCAAGCCTTCCAGTTAGTGACGTGTAGTGATGGAAGCGTTTGGAGAATGATCCATTTGTTCGGTCCTTTAATTTCCTTGCTCGGACTTTGAACCAAAGAAAATTATAGGAAATGAGAACAAAAACAAAAAGAAAAAGAACACTGATGTTATATATATGTGTGTGTGTGTGTTTCTGTGCACACATGTGTGTATATATAATGTGTTTGTATGTTGCCTTTCAGCTGAGGGTCAGAAATGGACCTTAACGTGTTCTCTCAAAGCCTGATGGTAAAATCACTTACTAGGGAGGGGCCAAACTGCACAATTTAGGAGAAAAAGAACCACAAAAGACAAAAACAAAAAGTACTTCTGCAAGTAAGCAAGGTACCAGCAACTTTTCATTCCTAATCTGGCAAAGTTACTAAATTTACAGCTAATGCAATATTGTGGAGAACTTGTTGCCAACAAATGTGATTGTTTAATTTCATTTGGAACTACAGTGAAGGTTTTAGGCGTAGATGAGAATTGTTTCTCTCCGTGACTTTCAGATACCAGGACATGCACAAAATGTCTCTTCTATTCCTTAGGATCAACAGTGTCAATCGATTTGTTGTCAGAACAAGAATTCTCAACTCCCTTGGAATTCTAATTATGGTGCTGTAAAATTTCCACTAAAATAATATTTTGACTAGTCAGCGTATTTTTGATGCACTCCTAAAGGTGGAATAGAACTTTTTTGCACATTTGGATTTTAATGGATTGCATGTAGTGTGGTGTTTTGGAGGGGGGGGAGAAGAGGAAACTGGACTTCTGAATTTGGACACTTGAGATCTTTTGAACCAAGTAGGGTTTATTTCGTGTTACATTAGGCTTTGCAGCAATTATTTTTCTTAACTGTCCAAAAGTACCGTTTGGAAGGTGGTGTTCTTAGCAGTGCTTTGTGAACTGTTCTTCTTTCTAGATTCGATCAGTGGAAGACCTTGTTTAGTTCTGTCGTTATTGGTACCGAACTGTTCGTAGTCAGGCGATTGTGGCCTCTAACTTTCCGTGCACTAATAATCTTAAGTGCCTGTGGTTTTTCTCACATTGTAGAAACACTTTGGGATTAGGTTCGTACACAAACCATTCTTAATGGTTTTGAACGTTGGCTTGGAGTTGTTCTGAATAGCGTAGTTGGAAGCAGCTACTTAAAATAAACTTAGGCTAGGGGTACCAGTGTTCTGGTATTGCACCTACTAGCTGTGCAATATATGTTTTTAAAAAATGAATATTTGTTTGTGTACACTGTGTTACGGGGCTTCAGTGATGCAATTGAAAAAGAACCTTTACATTTCAAGTACTGGATTACAATGAGAGTGTCCTTTTCATCGTCTTTTTCAAAAGGTTTGCTTTAATCAAAACCCCACAAATATCTCATGATGCTGCTTATTGTGATTCAGATTGTCCAGCTTTGCAGTACTTCTGGGTTTCATCTACTGGAGCCTAAAAGACATATCGTACAAGTCCATCTTCTCTCCAACTTCCAAACTGACTTCCTGCTTGAGAGATAAGGATGGCTTTACCACGGTAATTTGTTGATCCAAGGATAGAACAATTGGTATCATAGAAGAACAAAATATAATTCAAAACCTTAAATTCTATCAGCACCTTCATTTTTATTTTTTATTTTTATTTTTTCAATCCATAAGCTAACTCACCACTGCCTTAAGGCGGTGGTGTTTGTAAATTACTGGCTTTGTTTGACTCTTTAGATATATGTGAAAACTACCACGGAATTGGAAGTTACTGTAAATGTCTGTACTAGTATTGTAGGTTTTAACTTCTATAAAGATAAACCAATAGCTCTTTAAAAGCTTATTTTTTCACAAGTGCGTTCTGTGTGGAAGACACTTCGCATTGAAATATTTCTACTGTAGTCTAACATCTGAAATCACTTGCTCTGGTACAGCTTTCACACTGCATGTTCATTTTACTCTATTTTGGTATTGGCAATTTTACACATTGGGTGGAGGTAAAGCAGCTCCATTATGGGACTTATAAGAAGAGGAGAAAAAAAAGAAAAAGAAAAGAACTACTATCGTAGTTCAGTAGCATAGGGAAATATTTGTGGTTGGTAATTGTCAGGGTCTCCTATTTATCAGTACTTTTATAAATCTATGAAAATTGTTAAATTATTTTAGAAACAGTGCTGTAAATATGTCACATTTAAATTGTCAATAAATCAGTTTGGGTAACTTAAAATAACATCTGACTGAGTTTCCTTATACCGTGTTAAATATTTTTTTCAGAACAATGTATTTTTATTTTTTTTTAATATATAGGATGTTTAGTAGAGTCATAACATCAGATTTGAAGAGTTAAAAAAGATCAGGTTGTGTAGCCTAAGAAAGAAATTGAACAGAATGAGCTGTTCTGGTATTCTCAGTTTCTTCTGTGGAATTTTTACATGTTATGCAAGGGAAATGGATTAGGTTTCTTTTGCATCAGCAGAAGGGAAGGAGGTGATGCATACTAATGTCAAGTTTAACCATTTGGAAACACTTGGGCACCATCTGAAACGGGAAGAAACAAAAACAAAGAGAACAAACCAGAGTGTGCTTTTTTCTGGATTTGTACCATTGTGTACGAAAGGTTCTGTCTCAGAAATGCTTTCTGAAATAACGGCACCTGTGTGACGTGTGGAAGCACCTCACTGTCTGCACAGAAGCCAGCATGATATCGTCACGCTGTGAATTACTCCAGGTCCCTACACACCTGCAGCTACACAAAATACATGTACTCTTGCTGCCAACATACTGCTCTGTAACACAGAACCCCTGGAGGTGTCACTGCACCACAGGTCATGTAGGTATGAAATGTGTGTATCCTCGGAACTGTGGTGCCCATCTCTGTTTAAACGACAAATTCAGCTTCATCGTAACATCACCAAGTTACAAAACCAGCTTGACTGCAGCAGAACGGAGTTGACGTTTCAGTCCTCGCTGTGCCAAGTTAGCTACTACTCTATGTAAAGCAATTCAGTGATAAATGTCAGAACAAAATGCGATGGCTGGCTGCAACTCAAACTCATTTAAAGGAGCTGAAAATACTATTTCTAGTTCGCCTGTCCTACTGCATGCATCTCTGCTGTGTAGCTTTCAGCTTTTTTGTCCTCTAATTATTTTCCTAAAAATCTGTGTTACTTTTGTAGCCTGTTGAGACCTGAACTGCAGTCGCTGAAATGAGTTGGATGCTCTGCATGACTACGTGCTGTCTTGCATGTCCTCGCTCTCTACATACTTGCAGTTTCCCCTTTACTGAAGAGGGAATCGAATTATTCCTTTATGGTTACAGATTTAAACCTGCCGTGTCACAATCAGAGCTTTACAGAAATTGTGACTGCCGAATATGCAGTCTGTGTGGGTGAAGGTAACTGCCGGAGGGTGCTGGTCCAGAATATGTTTAATAAACTGGCATATGCCTTAACTTCATGGAATGGCAGGATGTCAGCACCACCTAGAGGTCATGCTCTATCTTTAAAAAATAATTGTCGGGCATTTACTTCTTAAATGGATTTTTAAGTCAGAAATACATCTTGAAACTCCAGTCGTTAAGTCACTGGACTACTCAAACTTGGGGCTGATTTTTGGTTTGTTTTCTTTTTAAACTCTTGCTCCTTGTAAGCTTTGAGTTGCAATGGCAGCAAATTGGTTGAAGACAAAACCAAACATCCCTTTTCTCCCTGCTGCTTTTGTTTAGAATAGCACTTTATTCCTGAGAAAGCCATGATGTTATAGGAAAGGAAGTGAATAATCTCTTAATTTGTCCAGCAAATAATGACAGTGTGAGGCTTCTTGTGATGCTAGTGACTGGAAAGCAATTACAGGCAATGAGAGGACACTAAAAAACCAGTTGAAACAGAAGAAATTGAAGAACACTTTGTAGTATGAAAAAGCAGATTCTCCAAAGTAGCAAAACTCAATCCACAGCCTTAATGAAATATATTGAAGAACTTTGTTTTCCTATGATAAACCAGTAAAAGAAAAACCCACTGCTAATCGCTAGGTGCTAACTTGATCTGATCAGAGTAGCCTTTTTTTGGAGTGAAAAGCAAGTATATGTTAGATGATTGTATGCAATGTGCAGGCTCAAAACAATTATTGTTTGCAAACCACGCGCACGTCTTGCAGCGTAAGGCAGGAACTTTCTATACAAAGACACGTTGAGCTGAGCTAGTTCACTTCCAGTTACTGCAGTTTTAACATTTCCAAAAGGCCCCCAGGACAGTAGTTATTTAGAGCCACGGGCCTGATCAGAAAGAGCCTTAAAATGTCTTGTCCAAGCACGACCTCTTCACCTACTGGACTGGAAGGAGGCGTCTCTGCTGCTTTTGGGAGGCTGAGTAACAGCACAAAGGTAGGAGGTTGGAGGGAAAACAGAGTATGGACTGAAAGAGGGGACCTAACCAGCTGGAAACCTTCTGCTTTACTGAGCTTCCATTTAAATAATTTTCCTCTTTGAGGTTTTGCGATTGCTTATATAGGTTTAGAAGTCAAAATCCTATACGGAAATGAGTTAAATGTGCAATACCGACATCAGGATCTCCTGTTGCAGAAGTGGCTGTATCAGTAGGAAATGTGGATATTCCAAGGCCGATTTTTTTTTTTTTTTTAGGCTTTACAAGAGGCCTGTATTATAGTGAATGGAGAAATTAGTGAGCACAACAAAAACGTGCACTCTGCAGGTGTGGGACAGAAATATTACTATTTTTACAGATTCTGTATTAGAGGTGAGAGAGAGGGAAGAAATGAAAGAAGGGGATATTCAAATGGGTCAATGTTAGTCTGAAAGTTAAAATGAAATTTTAAAAGTTAACTCTCTGTGCTATGTACAGTTTTATCAGTTATTCATCTGTGTTTTGGACCACAGTCTATACAACTGTTTGATGCTCCAAGCCACTAAGTTGCTAAAGAACTTCTGAGTTCTTCTACGGAAGTAACAAAGGTTTCTTTCTGAAAAATTTGAGTCCTGTCCCAAACATACGCCTTGTTTTTTCGCTGGATTTTCTCTGCGACCTCTCTGAGAACAAGAAACTGGTACTGGTTTCTCAAGGCACTGTGTAATAGTGTAGTAGCAGCTGAGTGTTGCTCTTCAAAGTGGTACCT